CCAAAGCGCCTCCTCAGCCCCACCCCGGAGCTCATTCTCCAGTCACATTCTGTTGGGTCGCAGCATTAACAATTTTCTTCAGATGGGGCATGAGGAAAAAAGTTTGAAACCCCCTGGGCTAGGGCAGTGAACCTGATCGTGGTGTTGCCTTGATTCTTCAAGTGAGGAGAATCTCCGGTCAAAGCTGGCGCTGGTAACATTTTTCCTCACAAGTGCAGCGAGCCTGTTCCACCGCAGAACGTTACTGGTCCCACGTGGCCACGTGAGTTCCCCTGTTTGCGATGGTTTTGAACCTCTCAGTGTACTGCATTCCCTTGGGGATCGGGGGCAGCCTGCTCTGCTGGCTTTCCTGTGTAGACCTGAATTGTACCGGCTAGAGGTTATGGCCACATCTGACCAGAAGCCATTTAGGGTCTTGTCCCAGGTCAGGTTACACAGAGAGAGAGAGAGAGACAACCCCGAGAGCTCTACCGTGGAAGGGGTCCATGGCAAAGGCCCTCAAATTCAGTAGCAAACGTCAAAAAGCGGGAACTTACCAGAACATGATACAATTCGAGGACTCCCGCTGGTAAAATTACTGAGAGAGAATTCGTTAGCCGAGCAGACTCACACCCTCCCTGAGGACCTGGCGCTAGGAGACGTAGGCCCAGGCTCGCCCCATGAAGTGGAAGGTCTGGACAGGTAGGGTGTGGAGCGGCTAGGCTAGGCTGTAAAGCGAAGCTAATGCAGGTTGGACCTCCCATGTCCGGCACCCTCAGGACCTGACCTGTCCCGAATGAGGGAATTTGCCGGATATGGGGAGGTCCCCTGCCACCGGCCTCCCTGCAGCTGGCTCCACTCCAGCTCCACGGCCACTGAGCTCCAGCCTGGGCTTGGACTTGAGCTCCGGCCTGCTGGGGCTTCCCAGGGACGGCGCTCCCCAGTTGCCATGGCTCCACTTCTCCCCTGCCTGGCCCTGCCTGGGATTGGGGCTGGCTGGCTGCCCTGGTTCTGCTGTGCTCTGCTGGCATCCTCAGGGACAGGGCTTGCTGGCTGCCCTTCCCCACCAGGGCTCCCTCGGGGCAGGGCTCGGCTGGTGCCACTGCTGCCCTGCCGTCCAGGACTCCCGAGGGACGGGGCTTCTGGCTGGTTCACATTCCCAGGCTCCGGGGCTCTCCGATCCAGCAACGTTCATGGTCCTGCCGGACTATGGATGTTGCCTGACCAGAGAGTCCCTGATTGCCGAGGTTCAGCCTGTCGTCGACCGCAGGTGGATAAGAGAAGAAGATCGAAAGAAGAACGAACAGTGAACAGCAAACCCAAGCCCAACACACTAACCTTGCGTCACAGCGCGGCTATTTTATAGGGCCTTGGCGCTGCTTGATTCAGGCCCAACCTACCACACCCATGTTGTATTGCCTCACCCTAAGAAATTGACAGGCACACTTACTCTAGAGATTAGTAGATGACGCTTATCACTACATATTAATGAGGATGATCTCATTTCCGAAACCATTACCTCCAGCTCTTCCAGCAGCTTCTCTGCCCTGCTGTCTCTTTGCAGTCGCTGACCGGCTCTGGCACTGGCTGATCCAGCACAGTTTTAGGTTTAGTTCCCCTATGTGGTTCCCCAAAGCAGAGGCCATCCAAGTAAGCATTTTATCTAGGACGAAGGTCGCTTATGCTAACTTACTCTACTAATGTGCTTCAGCTCTTCATACAGGATACAGGTGTGGAGGCTTAATCCTATGACTAACCGTGAATCCCTCCGATGAATCCCGTACAGTGAATCCCTATTCTGTTTCTGCACCGAGTCGGGGAATGAATTAGTATGAACCAACTCAAGGAAAGTGTGTTAGCTGCTATGGCAGGCAAGCAACTCCAACTGCTAGGCTACGCCTGGCAGGTGGGACTGGAAGGGGTTAGGAGGAATTCACTGCTGGCTGCGATGTGGTAAGAAGCAGCCTCAAACGGGCCAAAACCTGTTCATCACCCATGCACAGAACAGGCTGGATTCTGGTCCCGCCGGCACAGAGTTAGCACTTGTGTCAATACACAGAGGTCACTGGAGTTGCTCCTGACACATGCTGGTGTCACTGTAGGTTCATTGACACAGCAAAAACCCCAGCAGCGCCGCATCTGAGTTTGGGGTCACCCACCTTGGTTTGGGCTCCTGGGGCTTGCAGTATAGACATTCGGGGTAGTGCTGGAGCTCTAAGATTCTCCCCCTCTCCAGGGGGTCCAGCCAGAGCCTGACTAGCTACACTGCACTATGAGCCTGGCAGCCAGAGGAGGTTGTTTTGCTGTGCAGATGCACCCTTAGATCAGGGCACTGGTGCCAGCTCAGCTGCCACAAATTGCGCAGAATTGGCAATATTGTCGTCTTAGGGTATGTCTACACTGCTACCCTAGTTCGAACTAGGGTGGCTAATGTAGGCATTCGAACTCGCAAATGAAGCCCGGGATTTAAATATCCTGGGCTTCATTTGCATGTTCCCGGGAGCCGCCATTTTTAAATGCCCCGTAGTTCGAACTACCTGCCCGTGGCTACACACGGCACAGACTAGGTAGTTCGAATTAAAGCTCCTAATTCAAACTACCGTTATTCCTCCTGCAAGGATGTTTAACGGCAGTTCGAATTAGAAGCTTTAATTTGAACTACCTAGTCCATGCCGCATGTAACCACGGGCAGGTAGTTCGAACTACAGGGCATTTAAAAATGGCGGCGCCCAGGAACATGCAAATGAAGTGCGGGATATTTAAATCCCAGGCTTCATTTGCAAGTTCGAATGCCTACATTAGTCACCCTAGTTCGAACTAGGATGGCAGTGTAGACATACCCTTAGTATCCAGTGCATTAGCATGCCCTTAGTGTGACCTTAGCATGCCATTAGCGTGCCCTTCGTGTGACCTTAGCATGCCATTAGAATGAGGGGCCTGTTTGTCCTTGTCAGATTCCAATGACCTCTGCTTTGTCTCTAGACAGATGCTCGAGAAAGTCTCCACAGTGTTGTCAGAAGGGGATGAAAAGGAGGTAATTTGTATTGTCATTTCCTGGAATGGATCCCACCTGGACCCTACTGCAGGCCGTACGGGGTTTGCCATGGATAGCAGTGTGAGCAGGACAGATCGCACGTGCTGCGTTAGAACTAGGGATGTAAGGGGTGAACCAGTTATCTGGTAAACATCACCGTTACTGGCTAACTGGTTTACCCTTTACATCCCTCACCGGTTGATACTTACCAGATAAGCGGTTAACTGCTGGGCCCAGCTGGGCTGGAGTAGCCGCCTGCCCACTACAGGTGAGGGGCAACTCCAGTCCAGCCTGGTCCATTGTGCTGCAGGTGGGGGGTGTTGCAGCCAATCCAGGCCCACGGGGACAGTAGCCAGCTGGAGCAGTCCTGTGGCACCACCAGAGCTGCCCCTCCCTGCTGCCCGCCCACTGCGAGCTGTCTGGGTCCTAGTTAAGCAATGAAACGATGACAATTATATCACTTAGCTGGTTAACAGATCAATGGGTGTTTGCATGCCTAGCTAGAACACTGACCTTCCGATCGCCTCGCCCACACAGTCCTGTGTCCCTTCTTGGGAAGGGCATATCCTGGAGTGACACAGACAGCCGGGACACTGACGAACCGCTGATGGTGGGGCTTGGCGCAATGCAGGGACTCTGGGTCAGGGAGCTACATAGCTCACTTTGGGATTTGCTCTTACACCTTGATGAAATAGCACAGCAAGACCCGACTCACCTGCCGCATGAGCCTGTGGGTAACTCTAAACTATGGGGGGTGGGGTTTTGAAAGAGGATATGCAAATTCTGTGGGAATTTGCATATCTTCCGATTGCTTTTTCAAAAGCAGGTCTTTCAAAAGTGAAAGTATTCTGGACATGGGTTTTTTGGAAAAAACAACTCTTTTTTGAAAAACCACATAAACCTCCTTTTTTTTAGGAAAGGGTTTTTTTTTCTGAAAAAAACTGCATCCAGACTACTTTTGCTTTCAAAAGACTTGTTTCCGAAAAAACAATTGAAGAAGATATGCAAATTCCCACAGAATAAGCATATCCTCTTTCAAAAAAACCCAGTGGTTTAGACGTAACCCCAATCAGAACTACCCACTGCTGTCCTCCCAGGGGGGTAAACTGAACGGAGAAGAGAACTTTCATGTGCAGGCTTGGTTCTCTGACCTACCCCACTTTCACACGAGCGTAACGCCATGTCCTTGAAATGGGGTAGGTTGTGATTTACACCAGAGCAAGCGAAGGCAGAATCTGGCCCATTGTCATGGCCAATCAGGAAATGTTCTGACGTGTGGACAACATACGAGTTTCATGTCCAGTCCACGCCAAGAGGCCTTCACACCAAATAAGCAAAAGTGGCTACTCTGAGTGATGAAGATCTCAATAGCGGAGTGAAACAGCTCTTGTTCTGGCTTCATAACAGGGCGGGGCTTTCTCTCACAGCCACCGTAAGCCTGCTGGACAGTAGAGCATCCCCTTTGTAGCCCGTAGATGCCACTAATGTATTCCTATCTATGCATTACCGGCATAGAGACTGCTGATCATTTCGCCACATGCTGCAACGTTTTGTGGCTGAACCAGACTAGACAATGGTCTGCAGACAATTTCAACCACTAGCTCATCAAGTGTAAATGTTGACCAGTGATCAGTAGCTGAATTTTCAAGGAAAGGCAGCCCCCGACTTTCCGCCTTATCCTGCATGTAACCGGTTGTGCTGTGCTTCACGTGGGAGAAGGGAAAAGTCTGTTCTCTCGTAACCTACAGGTGAATGTAAAATGGTCCATCAAATTGGCACGACTCCGTTAATGACAATGCAGAGACGCCAAAGACGGGGCTCATTGGCGTTCTCCTCCCCAAACTTCCCTGGCCACAATTAATTTAGGATTTCAAGGTTTGGCCCACCATGCGGTGCACATGTCTTTCTTTGCTCATTAATAACCCGTGCTTCTTGTTACAGTTCAGATTCACCCAGAGAGCCTGAAAAAATCCTCAACGAAGTAGAAAAAGAGACTAGCCTTTTGATTCTGCAGCCGATACCTGATGACAGTCCAGGATCACAGGAAACGTCTCACAGTCCTGAGGAATCCGGCATCTAAAAGAGTCTACGCTGGGAAATAAAAATTAATTCTTTGCTAACCCTGGCAGAAAGGATGGGTACAAATCAAATGCCAAATCCAAACACCTGACCTATGGGGAGTTTAAAACCTAGAGTCAGATTTTACTCAAAGATATTTAGGCACTTAACTTCTAGGGGCTCCTCTGGGAATTTAGGCTTTTTCCTCGTGAGCCATCTTTCAAGTTCCTGAATACAATGGCTATTGGAAGATATCTTACCTGGCTCTTGCATCTCAAATTTCTTAGGCCAAATTTCTAGAGCCGCAAGGTCGGTTTAAGGTACACAACTCCAGCTATGTAAATAACGTAGCTGGAGTCTACTTACCTTAAGCCAAGCTTGGCACTGTGTTCACAAGAGGAGACTGACGGAAGCAATTGGTTTCCCTTACTCCTCACAAATTGAGAAGTACCACAGGCAACTGGAGGTGTCCTCAGGGTGCGATTTAGTGGGTCCTTACTAGATCTGGTAAATCGAACACCAGAAGATCGATCTCCAGCATGGCAAGTGGAGACACGACCTAAGGCTCTTAAGCCCCAACCCTGGAATTGCTTCCGTCTGAGTAACGTCAAAGCACATGAGGAATCTTGCTGAAGCCAATTGGACTACGCAATGCTGAGGATCTGTGCTTTACATACTAACAACAGTAGGGGGGCTGGAACAAGTTGTATAGTGGGGGTGCACAGTAAACCTTGCATTGGGTGGAAACCACTGGAAGCTAGGGCCTGTGGCATCACCTCGACTTCTAGCACCTCCGAATAACAGCCTTTGCATCGGGTGTTGTATTACTGCTTGCAATTGGTTTTGCTTTTCCTTAGGTCCCCCTCTCCTGGCTGCCTGATGACAGGTGGTGGAGTGAGCAATAATAAAGAAAACTAACTTAATTGGTTTGCAATGGCAGAAGCTCAACGCTTTAGCTCTTATTCCTTCCACATGATCAAAGGAAAACGAAGAGATGAGGGGCTGAGGACCCAAGGCCGGATGTGGCTCCAGGGCTGCTTGTGTGTGTTGGGTTGGAAAGCCAGGCCCTACATGTGCCGGGGTTAATAAAAATGGGGCTTGGGTAACAAATGGAAACTGTTTTGTGCGCCGCCCCCTGAGACTTGAAAACCGAAGTGTGGGAATCCACTACGCTAGCCGTCCCCAAACTGCGGGGCGCACTCCCTGAGGGGGACACGGAAGAAGGTCGGGGGGGAGGGCACAGGGCCTTGACCAGGCCCCACGGAGTTGTGAGGAATGCCACCCAGCCCTGAACTGCTCCCAGGCCCGGACAAAGAGTTTGTGGGGTGCAAGGGGGCAATGCTGACAGGTAGGCGGCTCCCAGCCAGGGCAGAGCGGGTGGGCACCAGGCAGTGCAGGGTCCTGAAGGCGCGGGGCCCAAGGCAACCGCCTTGCTCCCCTTGTCCTACGGCCGGGCCTACCCAGCTCTGCTCCAGACACTCCCTCAGCTGCTGCCCCTGCCCCCAGCCTCAACCCCTGAGTGCAGGCTGGCCACAGCGACACACCTACCCCGTCCCCGGCCCTGCCCCCAGCTTTGGCCCCTGGCCCCAGCCTTAGCCCCTTGACCCCATCCAGCTTCCTCCCCCAAGCCTCAGCCCCACTCCTGGCTCTGGCATCAGGGGGTGGGGGCGTGGCGTGTGACCCTGACACATTTGGGAGCCACTGAGATACCCCCACAGGGGCTCCACGTTCCCTCCCCCCCCACGCCCCTTGGGGCACCCAAGCAGGGGCGGGCGGGTGTTTTCCATTCCCCCTGGCACAGCTCCAGTGGTGCAAAGGCTGCAGAGCAAAGCCTTTCCTGCCACGTGTGAGGAGAGTCCCTCGGCCCTTCCCAGACGACGCGCCCCCGCCCCTGTCCTGGGCAGGCTGGGCTGCAAATAGTGCCCAGGAAAAGCCTGGCTACGGGCTCGTGCGGAGCCCCCCCAGGCAATGGGAGGGTGAGACTGGGCCTGCGAGGCCAGGAATGCAACCAGGCTGCAGCTGGAGGCTGGGCCATGCTTGATTGGGGATTAAACCCAGCTGGCTCACCCCAGGCCAGTGAAAGCCGGCAGGCAGCAGGCAGGGTGCAGGGCCTAAGGCAGGGAGAGAAGCCAGGAGCTACAGCTGGAGAAGCCAGTGGAGGCCTCCGGGGTATTTGGACTGGAGTTTGGGGGGGGGAGAGATCTGCAGGGCCGCTCTGGGCCCTACGTCAGCAGAGAGCCAGAGGACACAGGGCTGCAGCAGCTCACATGGACCCGGATATAAGGGGTAGGAAGGGGCCCTCTGGCAGGGCATCCTAGGAGATGCTACTTGTTACCCAGAGCCGAGGAAGGGACTGGGGGAAGGACGCCTCCTAAAACTGCCAGGAAGGCGCCTAGGGAAGCAGAGACAAGGTGTCGGGCAGAGCTGCTTACCCTACAATCCCTGGGCTAGATCCCAGTGCAGAGGCTGGCCCTGGGCTGTTCTCCCCCCCCCCCCCCCACTCCTCGGTAAAGCCCCTAATGTCTGGGACTGAGGACCGCGCTGAGCCAGGAGAGACACAGGGAAGGCCCCTGGCTCCCAAATCGGGGTCACAGGCATGGCACGAGAGTCTGTTGAGTGCCCTGTTACCCCCAAAGGGGTGGGGTTCAAACCTGACCACCGGCCTCTCTTCTTGCAGCTCAGGGCCCCCGGCAGGAGCGACTGTTGGCAGCGGGGATGAGGGCAGATGGGGCTGCGGCACCGTGCCCAGCCGCGAGGGGCACCTCTACGGCGAGTCTCCCCTTCTGCACGGTGAAACAGCGAGACTTTGATGGCAAGTACCCCGAGCGTGTCACCCCACTGCCTTCTGTCAGGGTTCCTGGGAGACAGGCGCAGATCGGGCTCTTTCAACGCCCCCACCCCAACTCAGATCTGCTCTTGGAAGATCTTCCCTCCTAAAGCAGGGGTGGGGAACTTAAGGCCCGGGGGCTGGATGCAGCCCCTGGCTTGCCTGGATCCAACCCATAGAGGGAGTGTAAACCATCTAAGATGTGGTATCTCTGCTACAAATTAGGAAGTGCCCAAGTTTGGCAATAGCATTATTATTAATCATTGCCAGGCATTGTCTCGATAGTGATGAACCAGAGGTTCGAGGATTGTCTAGGGGTGTTTTTTTGTGGCAAGGGACTGGGGCTGCGAAGGAGGAAGGCCCGAGACTTAAATGCTCTTAACCAATTACAAACTTTATTAACTACAGTTTGATTATATTAAATCGCTGTCTCTGATTTGTCTTAGCGCAGCATGCAAAAAAATATATAACCAATACAGCAATAATAAAAACTCCTCCCGTAGCCAGTCCCTCTATGGTTATCTTTGAACAGCTGGTGGAGTTCGTCATTAATCTACATATACTTAACAACCTTTAACTATGAAATGCTTAATACGATATAGTAAGCAATACTCACAAGCCCAGAAACGATTACGATGCACAGACACAAAACGACGCGTAGCACGCTCCGGATTCGTACACCCTTTCGTGATTCGGTGGGTGGGAGGCGGCCTTGGGTGATCAACCCCCAGCCCGGCTGGATGATACGTGCCTTCTATTTTTCGATATGGAACCTCCCCGAGCTTAGGGCTCAGGGTGCTTTATACTATAATTTTGACATCCGGTACCATATTAGGGTTCCTTCCTGTTTGATATGACGTCTGCCTCAAGGCATTGTGGTCAGTGCCTGATGCAGACATGACTGGCACACGTGAAAGCTAGCTATGTTTTTTCTTTCCCTGTTCCAGGTGCTTAACTGGTGTATTATGACAGCTCATTTCCCTTATTCCTATCTTGTCCTGTTTTTAGTGCTCGTTAACCTAACTTTTTTCCCTCCTCTTAGCTTCCTGGCCTAGGTGCTTGGAAGTTCAGTTCCGTTTACTGAGAACTGTGCTGAGCACCCGAGGGAATTCAAGCTGTATCTCTGGATCCGCCTCAGCGGCCTGTGTTTTTCTTGTGAGGGGCGTTTGTGTGGCAGTATGGGCAATACGCGTGAGGCCGTGGTCAAAAGGACCTGCTACGTGACAGGAACTGTGGAGTGTCTTTCTCCTTCTCAATCCAGGGTTTGGTTTTCTTTCTTCTGCTTCTCACTTCTGATTTTGTTTTTCCTGTGGGTCAGCAGCCCCCGACCCCAAAAAAGGCTCCCACCCCTGTACTAAAGGATGGCGTGTGTGTGTGTGGGGGGGGTTAATATTCGGACTTGGTCTTCTGGCTATGAAAAGCCAGTGGGGGATTGTACCGCTTGTGCTGGTCATCGCACGGAAAACCGAGTGAAAGAAACACTTAGCAGCTCGTCCTGTTCTAGCAATAACACCACATTGCGATTTACCACAACATGGTCCATACAGGGATGTGGTTAAATCCTTCTCTGTGCAGCCCCTGGCAACACTAACTCTCTCCCGACTCGGGTGGAAGTGACGCCTTATTAAACCCCTCTTCGCATTGTAGCCCCCGTCTATCTCCAGGGGCAGCGGGCTGTACGATGGGGTGTGTGGTCCATCTACAACCATCAGAAGGGAGAGACCCTCTGTGCGCCGGGTGCTTTCGCCGCTCTGTCCTTCAGCTGGAATACGTCGGCAGCTAGACTCACTCCTAACCCGCTGGCTGGGGGGGCAGATGCATTGGGATCCGTTTTGCACTCAAAGGTGGAAGCGGAAGCAGGTCTGCCGTGGAACAGCCTGGCTCTGAGGAGATCCGGGGGCCGGGCCATACAGTTGCGAATGAAACCTTTGGGCCTCAAACTAGAGGCGCATGAACGGAGGCAGGGAGAAGCCTCCTTGCTCGTGTCAAACGCTAAGGGCGTGTGTTCACTTCGGGGGCAGCTCTTTGAGGGGAAAGTGGCTTTTCAGGGACAGAAAGGGCTCCCTCGAAGGGGCGGGGCCTGGGTTTTGTCCCCTCCCCCGCGATTTCTGCCAGTTTTCATTTCTTTGCTCTTCTGCCTTCAGACGAGGTAGAACCGGAGTAACCGACAGAGGAGCGGGACTCAAAGGTATTTAGGAGTCGAATTCCTGGGCCAGAAGCCATTCCGCGCCCGCCCTTATGTAAACCGTTTTTGTGCCCTGGACTAGAATTGTAGTACCGAGGCAGAACAGGGCCACTGACGGGTGGGAGGGGTGGGATAAAAGGAGCAGTTGCTCTGGAGCAAGATGATTTTA